AGTGATTGTCCTAAATTCTTGAGTGATTCAAGAATCCTTGGCTATATCAAAGGACTTTCACATCCTTTGTATGTTGTCTCCCTTGAGAAGAGTGATTATTTCTTTTCACCTTCTTTCTAATTTCTAAATTTCTTACAAAGTTATAACCCTAAAGATCCTAAATCACCCCTTGTGATTCATATCAGTGACTGTTAGAGTGGTTTTTTGCCATATAATAAAGCTGGTTGAAGGTTGCATAAGCAACCAAAATAAGATAACAGTTCTCGTACCCACAAACATTGCAACTGAGTGTAGTTTATCTGATGAAAACCATTTTCTGATAGAAAAAAATGGAACTGAGTAATAATTTTATTATTCCTATCCTATGTCAGCATATACCTTTATATAAGCCTGAAGACCAGGTTATTTAATGATGTTTAAATGCTTCATAAATACATGTAGTAAAGGGAAACAAAAACGTCGTGCTTTTCCAAAGTCTTTATTTAATGTTGAAGTTTACAACGGCATATGCTTATAAATGACATAAGGTTATTAGAAAAGAATTCAAAAATATTAAGGAGTTGTTTTTTTTTTAAATTACCTTTTAATTTTTTTATTTTAAAACCTACCAAATTAAAAAAATTATTTGTAATTTATTTTATTTTTATTATTCGTTTTTAAAATTACAAAGTAAAAACTAATAAAAGATATTTTTTTATCAATAATAATTAGCGTCGCTATCAGTATTATTAGTTTTTAAATGGAATTGTTAAATAAGTTTTTTTATTTATTTTTAGAAAAATTTTAAAATTGATTTGTTAAATTATTTTTAATAATTAAAAAAATTAAAATAAAATAAATCCTAATATATTTTATTTTTAATTGTTTCATATATTAATATATATCATCTTAAATTCGTTAAAAACACCTTTTAAGTAATGATTTCTAAGAAATCTTTAATTTATGAGTTAAATTATTTTTAATATTATATATATTTTATTGCATATGTTATTTTAGTTCTTTTAACTTCTTTTAGTGTTTTTAGGCATTAATTTTCTTCTACTCTTTTATACTTAAGATCAAACATTAAATTTATATAAATACACCGTTTTCTTGTCTTGAACCACAGCGGTAAGGGAAACTTAATTCATCTTAAAAGAAAAATATGATTAGTGTATGGCTTGGCGTCATTAATCATTAATTTTTTATAATTTTTCCTGCAAAAATTACACGTAGTAAATAGTTGTAAATTTTTCTATAAATAAAATCACAAAAAATTATTACAATTTTTTCTACATTTTTTTACAAGAAATACTTAAAAAATATATTAAATAGTATAATCTTCACCTTAAAAAAGATAATATTAGAGTCAAATCTAAAAACTTTTCTGACATTAATTTTAAATTAGGTTTGATAGAAATATTTTTATTTTTTATTCTATTTACAAAATAAGAACAATGTTATAATAATGATATATAATACTTGTTTTAATTTTTAAAATTTTCGTAAAATTATTAGTTTTAATTTTGATTTTATAACTTTTTAAAACAAACCAGTTTTATATAAAAAAAAATCTTTATATGACTTAAAACTTAAAAAATATATTATTTATAAAATCCAGTCCAGGAGATTTTCTATGACTGATATTTAAGATGTTTATTTGATGAACGGTTTTTACCGTTTAACACTTTGAGAAAAAATATTAAAGATTTATACAGTAACTTAACAGAATATACCATCAAATAAGAAGGAGAATGAACAATATAGTCAATGTATTATCTACAAACAAATGAACTAAAGCTGTATAATTTTAAGAAATAAGAAACTAAGATATAATTAATAATTAGAAGAATAAAAAACCAGAACTCAGATATATTGTAAGGAATTAAAAAGTAAACAATTGAAAAAAACAGCATGAAAGTACCTTTCAATTTTATTGATCACTACTTTGTTAACAGTAATTATGATAAGAAAGGCCCAAATATAGAGTTTTGGAACCCATCATGCATATATATAAAAACTCATTCTTTCTTCTACTTGTCCCAAGGAAGGCAATAACGTTGCTTAGCAAAAACCAAACATGGTCCATCCCTTATTACTGCCCAACTACATGGATTACAAATCTCGTCATCCCTACCTGCTTCGTAAATAATAAACCTGTGCAAGACATGTTCCCATTGAAAGGTACAATGGTACAATGTTGTTTCAAAAAGATTAACTCGAAACTTCCATGAAAAAGAAGCATTGGGACGGAGATGCTGCATACCAAGATCATCGTCAGCAGATTTGCAGTGAAGGAACAGGTCTGGATGTCCTTCTAACAAATTTGTGACTATTACAGTGGTTTTTGGCCATAAAATACTGCTGGTTGAAGGTTGCATAAGCAACCAAAATAAGAAAACAGTTCTGATACTTATAAACATTGCACCTTTTCCTCAGAGAATCACACTCACACACCACACAACATGAGATATTTTAAGTTCAAGGTATAGACCAAGATAAAGTGCATTTGGTCTGATAAAACCATTTTCTGAAAGCAACAAATGTAACTCAGTTAAGATTTTGTTATTCCTATGTCAGCATACCTTTATATAAGCATGAAGACCAGGTTATTTAATGATGTTTAAATGCTTCATAAATATATGTAGTAAGGAATAACAAAAATGTCTTCCTATTTCAAAGTCTGTATTTAATGTTCAAGTTCACAACGTCATATGGTTATAAATGTAATAAGGATAATAGATAATAACAATAATAATAATAATAAAGGTAGTAGTTTGTTTATTTTTTTAGTTTTTATTTTATTTTAGAAACTAACAAATTTAAAATTTGTTTTGATAACTTATTTCATTAAAATCATTTTAATTTTTTCAAACTAAAAAAAATAAAAGGGTGCGAAATAAGGGTTCGTAGTATATTTTCCCAAAATAGAAAAATTAAGGGTTCATGATTGCATGCATTTATGGTTTATTATGGATTCTGGTCTAGCAAAAATTCATAATAAACTCAGAAGCAGAAGATTTAATGTGTTGAGTGATATTATTCAACAATTTTGCCCCTCCAACTACATATTTTTTGGAATTGATTATCTTAAATTAATTTCAACAATTTCTTTATATAATTGAAGTTTTTCTTGGGTGACCACCGTGATAAGCGTATTTGTTCCATTCTTACCGGTGTATATCTTCACCAAGCTCAACACTAATGATATATTCAGCAGTGTAGTCTGTCACTTACATTCCACTTGGCAATTTCATATTCACCAACTTTGTCAACAGTATAAACATATGATGATACATACCTTCTAACTTCTTCCAAAGGATATAAACATCAATTTCTTGAGACATGTGATGAAAGACCCTGTGATCGACTAATTATCTAATCAAACCAATTGTTTTTCTATTCATCTTCTTCCACTTTGCATTCTTAGTAGGATCGGGGTTATACTCCTTACAACAAAGGAGATCCTTTATCCTTGGTTTCCAAAGTCTATAGCTGTTGGTAGTGGGCTTAATCATCACACTAAATGAATAGTTCATTCTTTTTATGTGAAATAATAATAATAATAATAATAATAATAATAATAATAATAATAATAAAATGATGACCACTGACCTATTTTTAAAACAAAGTTAGGCTAATGAATAAATTCTGAGTTAATTACTTTTTTTTTTAAATATTAGTTTATCTATATCAAAATAATTAATTAAAAATATTTAAATAAAAATAAAAATATATTTTTAAAATATAAATTATATTAATAAATTTATTTTCTATTTAAAATATAATATATATATATATATATATATTATAAAAAAAATAAGAATTAAAAACTTATTATTCATTATCATAATTTACTTTTTAGTAATTTATTAATATAAAACAGTAATTACACTAGGAGTTGTTTATGATTTCAGTTGCTTATAAACAATGTACTTATAAGAAACTGTTGCTGGAATAATCTGAGGTGACAACAACAATTTTAAAAAGTTAAGTACCGTATTTGTAGAAATAACGTTCCTAAGAGTTATTTTTCCCAATTTTTTTCAGTTTGTTCTCACGGTTCTCACCAACAAAATTCAACAAATCAGATAATGCAACAAATCAGAGAGGAATGCTCATAGCAGGTCCCATTAAAGTCAAAAGTGGTAGTTGAATAGTGAGTTACTTATAAGAATTCATCATTGGAATGAATTTGTAAAAAATTTGGAGAGAATTGCTTAAAATATAGTGTGACACTGTGGGTTTCACTTAAGAATCCAAAGTGGGTTCTTATAAGAACCCATCATTGGAGATACTCTTAGATCTTAAATAAGTGGTTATTATATATTCACTCTAATATTTATTTTTAAAGTAAGTGAATTCTTTATCAATTTAATTTATAATATATTTATATTTTTAATAAAATAATTTTATTTTTTATTTTTATTTAAAAAATTATTATTATTTTATAAAATAGACTAGTCTAACTTAAAGTTAGAAATGACAAAATAGACTTTTTTTCATAAATAATACTCGTTTTCAAAAATATTTTCCCAAATAGCACCTCTGCAACTTTATTTACACAACTAAGCATCATGTTCATTGTTCACATAATAAAATAATCGATCATTTTTATATTATGATCGATCATTTCGCGTAATGAACTCTCGCTCAAGCGAAGAAAACCTTCGCTTGAGCGAGTAAATCTGTAACAAAGGGGTAATCTCGGGCAAATTCTCGCTCAAGCGAAGAAACCCTTCGCTTGAGCGATAAAATCTGTAACGAAGGGGTAATTCTCGCTCAAGCGAAGAGTTTCTTCGCTTGAGCGAAACGTATGATCGATTATTATCCAAATATAGTCGATCATATATGACTTTAGATAGCGGTTATTTGGCCAACCGCTATCTAAACTACTATATTAGAAAGCGGTTAAAGCCTAACCGCTATCTAATATATATTTTTAAAAGCGGTTGTTATCAACCGCTATCTAAGGTTACTCAAGCAAAAAACACATCGCTTGAGCGAGGACATCTGAAAAAATGGGGGATTCTCGGGTTCTGAGCTCGAATCTTGCACAAATTTGTTATGCTCGAAAGCTGTTTGATGAATTTTGCTTCCCTGACGTGTTTATGTGGAATGCTATCATTAGGTGTTATTCGAGGAACAATATGTTCAGGGACACCATTCAAATGTATAGGTGGATGAGATGGACAGGAATCCATCCGGATGGATTCACTTTTCCTTATGTACTTAAAGCTTGTGCTGAGTTGTTAGATTTTGATTTGAGCTGCCTAATTCATGGACAGATAATCAGATATGGGTTTGGGTCGGATGTGTTTGTGCAGAATGGCCTTGTGGCAGTGTATGCTAAATGTGGTCGTACTGGTGTTGCAAAAGTGGTGTTTGATGGGTTATACCATAGAACAATTGTATCATGGACTTCCATCATTTCTGGATATGCACAGAATGCAGAATCTATGGAAGCATTGCGAATGTTCAGTCAAATGAGAAACGCTGATGTGAAACTAGATTGGATTGCTCTGGTAAGCATTCTGAGGGCTTATACTGATGTAGATGATTTGGAGCAAGGGAGATCTCTTCATGGTTGTGTCATCAAGATGGGTCTTGAAGATGAACCTGATTTGCTTATCTCACTTACAGCTTTATATGCTAAATGTGGGATGGTGACAGTTGCAAGATCTTTCTTAGATCAAATGAAGACATCAACCCGAGAATCCCCCATTTTTCCAGGTGTCCTCGCTCAAGCGATGTGTTTTTCGCTTGAGTAACCTTAGATAGCGGTTGATAACAACCGCTTTTAAAAATATATATTAGATAGCGGTTAGGCTTTAACCGCTTTCTAATGTAGTAGTTTAGATAGCGGTTGGCCAAATAACCGCTATCTAAAGTCATATATGATCGACTATAATTGGATAATAATCGATCATACGTTTCGCTCAAACGAAGAAACCCTTCGCTTGAGCGAGAATTACCCCTTCGTTATAGATTTTATCGCTCAAGCGAAGGGTTTCTTCGCTTGAGCGAGATTTTGCCCGAGATTACCCCTTTGTTACAGATTTACTCGCTCAAGCGAAGGTTTTCTTCGCTTGAGCGAGAGTTCATTACGCGAAATGATCGATCATAATATAAAAATGATCGATTATTTTTTTATGTGAACAGTAAACAGTGCTAGTTGTGTAAATAAAGTTGCAGAGGTGCTATTTGGGAAAATATTTTTGAAAACAGTATTATTTATGAAAAAAAGTCGACAAAATAAGTCAATAATTAAGGGGAGAGGGGCCTAACAGACGGAGGACCATCTTGTCAATAATTTTTTTATAATATTTTTTACATGTATTTAAAAAATATATACCTTTAAATATATAACTAATTTTTATGTTTTTATTTATTAATTAATATTTTTATCGAGATAAATTAAAAAATTTACTATATTTATGTGTTTAAATAATTAATAATTTAATTAATTTTTATAATTTAAATTATAATATTATAATATATTTACATATTTCAATAATATAACATAAAAAATATAATATTTTAATTATAATATTTTTTAAAACAAGCTAGCAAATCAATTCGTCTCGTCTTGTCTTTAACCTAGGTCAAGTTAGCAAGTAGGTAAGATAAACCAAAATAGAATGACAAGTTAAAACTACCTAACCGTCCCACCATTTTTTAGGCGAGATAGACAGATTGACCTGCTAAACCTATCTCATTTTGTCATTTTTACTTAAATTCATATAAATATCATGGCCTAAATAGGTCAAACTAAAATAGATTTGATTTAATTTATATCATTCTTTTATCTAATTTGACATATTTCTCAAGTCGATCATATGAGTTAAGTCTATTTTGACACTTATAATTTCAAATATATTCTTATACTTGAAACAACAATAAACATAAAATGAAAACGAAGAAATACCTTAAAAAAAAATTATTGCATAAGATTAAAAAATAAAAAAAAATTCTAAACCGTACATCCTAAAAATAATAAATAACAATGTTTGATCATAGCTATTCAACCACTTACTCGATTTTCTTTAATTCAAGAAATACAAAGACTAGGTATATATGTGTTGAATTGAGAAGTGAAGTCAAGGAAGTGGAAAAAGAGTGAGAGTAGAAAGAAGTCTTTCCAAATTGAAAAAGAAGTTGTTATTACGAATCACCGAAATGACATAATTTAATTATCAAGCTTCCGTCACAACAATTTTGTGACATGTACATTGGTTATTTAAAGTGAAATAAAAACTTAAAAAATATATTATTTATAAAACCCAGTCCAGGAGATGTTCTATGACTAATATATATTTAAGATGTTTCCTTGTGAAATGTTTTTACCGTTTAACACTTTCAGAATACACCATCAAATAAGAAGGAGAATAAAGAAATAAAATAAAACGACCATACCAAATAAACTGAATGTATAATTTTAAGAAATAAGAAACTAAGATATAATAATTAAAAGAATAAAAAACCACAACTCAGATCTATTATAAGGAATTAAAAAGTAAACAACTGAAAACAGCAGCATGAAAGTACCTTTCAATTTTATTGATCACTATTTTGTTAATAGTAATTATATATGATAGAAAAGCCCGACTATGGAGTTTTGTATGCCATCATGCATATACAAACTCAGAATCAAACTCATTCTTTCTTCTAACTGTCCCATGGAAAGCAATAAAATTTATTAGAAAACATCAAACACGGTCCATCTCTTCTTACTGCCCAACTACATCGACTACAAAGCTTGACATCCCTAGCTGCTTTGAAAACAGTAAAGTTGTGCAAGACATCTTTCCATTGAAAGCTACAATGGAACAATGTTGTTCCAATAACGTTAACATGAAAACTCCACGAAAAGGAAGCATTGGGACGGAGATGTTGCATTCCAAGATCATCGTCAGCAGATTGGCAGTGCAGTAACAGATCTTGACCATCTTCTAAATTATTTGTGACTATTACAGTGGTTTTTGGCCATATAACAACACTGCTTGAAGGTTGCATAAGCAACCAAAATAAGATAACAGTTCTCGTACTCATGAACATTGCACCTTTTCCTCAGAGAATCACACACCACACACTATGAGATATTTTAAGTTCAAGGTATTAGACCAAGATAAAGTGCATTTGTTCTGATAAAACCATTTTCTGAAAGCAAAAAATGTAACTCTGTAATTATTTCGTTATTACCATACCTTTATATAAGCCTGAAAACTAGGTTATTCAATGTTGTTTAAATGCTTCATAAATCCATCTAATAGCTGTTAGCGGCCGTTAGGGATAAGAATAATCAAGAGAGATGTTGAAAATAAACTAATAACTGGTTTATACAATTGATATAAATATTATATAAATACAATATTTATAACAGAAACTGAAGTTGATTAGACTAATTAAATTAACTGTAAAAATCATTATATCATAATTACTGAATTATCTTCTAATAATAAAAAAATACTAAAATGTCTTCCAATTTCAAATTTTGAATTTAATGACTAATTAAATTAACTGAAAAAATCATTATATCATAATTACTGAATTATCTTCTAATAATAAAAAATACTGAAATGTCTTCCAATTTCAAAGTCTGAATTTAATGACTAATTAAATTAACTGAAAAAATCATTATATCATAATTACTTAATTATCTTAATAATAAAAAATACTGAAATGTCTTCCAATTTCAAAGTCTGAATTTAATGACTAATTAAATTAACTGAAAAAATCATTATATCATAATTACTAATTATCTTACTAATAAAAAAATACTGAAATGTCTTCCAATTTCAAAGTCTGAATTTAATGACTAATTAAATTAACTAAAAAAATTATTATATCATAATTACTGAATTATCTTAATAATAAAAAATACTGAAATGTCTTCCAATTTCAAAGTCAGAATGACTAATTAAATTAACTGAAAAATTATATCATAATTACTGAATTATCTTCTAATAATAAAAAAAATACTGATATGTCTTCCAATTTCAAAGTCTGAATTTAATGTTCATGTTCATAACGTTATACGGTTATAAATGTAATAAGGGTAATAGATAACAATTAAAAAAAATAAGTAGTAGTTTGTTTATTTTTTAGAAATTATTTTGTATTTTTAATTTTCACAACTAAAAATTTAAAAAATTTATTTAATAACTTATTTCATTAAAATCATTTTATAAAATGCTTGTATTTTTTATTTAACTAAAAAAATAAAAGGGAGCGAAATAAGGGTTCGTGGAATCTTTTCCCAAATTGCAAAATTAAGTTCATGACTGTATTCATTTATGTTTTATTATATTTTTTAAAATTTAATAAAATATTAATTTTATAATATAATAAATATATAATAAGTTTAATAATAATAATAATATTTTTTTTATAAAATATATTATTATCAGTTACAAATAAAAAGTTATTAAATATAAAATATATTAGACAATAAAAAATAGATAAAAATATAATAAAATAATAATTATTTAAATTTTATATAATTGATATATATATAAAATAAAAACCAAATTAAAATATATTATAGTTTTATAAAAAAGTAATTTTAAATATATATTTTTTATTAAAATGATTTGACCAAAAAATTAATTTATTTTTTTATTTTATTCTGATTTAATTAAAATTTGATTATTTAAAAATAATAATTTAACCCGCTCGGATCCGGATCCGATTTTCAATTTTCAAAATAGTGATTAAATTCGACAACGCGAATACCTAAAGTTAGGTCGGTACCATAACGAAGTAAATTTATGAAAATTCAAATTTATTTTTTTTATGTTTTTTTTTTTAACCTTAGTATGGGCTCCCTTTCAAAGCCTCCCCTCTCTTCTTCGCCTTCTCTGAAACCCACTGCACGGAGAAGCAGTTGCAGCTCCCCAAAACTGTGTCAAGATCTTTCAGAAGTCCCTCCTGCCCCTTGGACGCCATCGTTGACCCATAGCTGACCACATCCTTTTTCTCACCCTCAGGATCGGAGCCCTTGGCGACACAAAACGAGAAGAAGTAGTGAAAATTGTCGACTTTCAAGCGGTGTCATCCTTCACCAAATGCCATTGGATCTATTCGGTGACGCGCGCGTACATGACGACGACGTTGCGCCCCTGTTGGAGGCGGATGACGGAGAAGTCACCGCATGCGAGCTTGATGCTGTAGACCTTGTTGACGCGGTTGAGGATTACACCGGGGATATGGAGGAGGAGCTCTTGGGTGGCCTCCGCCGATGCAGAGGGGGAGGAGCTAGCTGCAAAGGCATCCTCCGGGAAGAGGTTTTAAACGAGGTCATTGTAGTCAATTGAAGGATAAAGAGTGGTTTTCGGAGAGGATAAGTGATTGGGATTGAGGAGACGCTAGGGATCATCAAGGTTAGAGTTGATTACCTGAGAATAGAGGGAATTTCTCTGATTAGGGTTTTGAGACCACCATACATCAAGTTTTACGTGGGACATGGTATCAATTGGGTAGTGGGATAAGTCTCGGTGGACAAAGGAAATAATCACACAAATAAAGTTGACAAAAATAATCCATTTCATTATTAAAAACATGATTGTTATTATTATGCGATATATATTTTTAATTTAGTTAAAAATAAGTTTAGTTTTTGTTAAGAACATTTAGAATTATAAAATTAAATTACTATTAAGATGTTCTGAAATTTTTAGAGAGATCGGAAGGTGAAAGTAAAAGGAAACAAATTTGAAGACCCAAGATTTCACTCAACAATCAAATTGTTTCTAAACAAAAAGCTAGTGACGAAATAAGTGTCCACGTGTCAGTTTTGCTCAGCAAATATATATATTTATTGAGCGAAATCTATAAATTTATTAATAATTGTAATACCTCATTTCATCTAACGAACGAAGGTTTGGCTTGTCCATAGAAAGTTGATAAAAATATTTCCAAAAACCCTTTTCTTGTATTGAATATGATAGCACAATATATACATGAAATACAGAAATATTATAGACTATAATTACGCTAACCATTATAGTCGGTATCCTAAATTTGTCTATTAACAGATATGACATTAATGTGCATCACTGTGCATCACTGTCATGCCAAGCTAAATATGGAAAAAATTAATCATGTAGAATCATGGCATGATACGGTATTTGTAATCGTATATTCTATGTTTATCACCCTCCCTCAAGATGGAGTATGAAGGTTATGAATGCCCAATTTGCCTAAAAAAGAACCAAATTTAGTGGCGCCAAGAGATTTGGTGAAGAGATCAGCCAGTTGATGATGAGTGGACACATAGAAGGGTTGGATATGATTGTGTTGTATTTCATCACGAATAAGATGACAATCCACTTCAATATGTTTTGTCCGTTCATGAAACACAGGATTCTTGGCAATGTGAAGGGCAGCTTGGTTGTCACGGTAGAGAGTCATAGGGTCGGTGTGAGTAATGCCTAGGCTCGAAAGAAGGCCTTGAAGCCATTTCAACTCACATGTCGTGTTGGTCATAGAACGATATTCTGCCTCAGCGGATGATCGAGAAACCGTATGTTGCTTCTTGGTTTTCCAGGAAACGGGGGATTGACCAAGGAAAATAAACCAACCGGTGAGAGATCTTCGAGTGAGAGGACAACTTGCCCAGTCCGAGTCACACCAACCATAAAGACGAAGGTCACTCTCTCTTTTAAAAGCACACCCCGACCCGGGCTGCCCTTTAAATAGCGTACCACGCAGAGTGCAGCCCGCCAATGCTCCTGACGCGGTTGGTGCATGAATTGAGATAGGACATGAACACTGTAAGATAATTCAGGTCGTGTAAAACACAAGTAAATAAGGCGACCGACGAGGCGTCGATATTGACTCGGGTCAGAAAGTAGTTCGCCATCAGCCAATGCTAAATGATGATTTTCTTCGATTGGCGTGGACACAGGTTTCCCTCCAAGCAATCCTGCTTCAGCTATGATGTCCAACGCATACTTCCGTTGACACAAGAAAATTCCTGTAGGAGATCTGGCAACCTCCACCCCAAGAAAGTATTTTAATTTCCCTAAGTCCTTCATACGAAAACATTGATGAAGATAATCTTTGAATTGCGCAATGTCTTCATGATGATTGCCAGCAATGACTAGGTCATCCACGTAAACTAACACAACCGGTTCGACATCTCCTTTGCGAAAGATGAACAAGGAGTGATCGGACGAAGAACGTTGAAACCCATATTGAACAAGAGCGGTTGAGAGCTTGGCAAACCAACACCGAGGAGCTTGACGAAGACCATAAAGGGACTTGCGGAGACGACACACCATACCCTTTTGAGACACCAAGAACCCTGGCGGCATTTTCATGTACACATCTTCCTCAAGATCGCCGTGCGAGAAAAGCATTATGGACATCCATTTGATGGAGTTCCCGAGTCTTTGGCTACTCGTCACTTGCCAACACTTGTCCGAATGGTGACCATCTTTGCCACTGGGGCAAAGGTCTCGTCATAGTCAATCCCCTCAACTTGGTGATTTCCCAAGACAACTAATCGGGCTTTGAAGCGTTCAACGCTCCCATCGGAATGATATTTGATTTTATAAATTCACTTGCAACCCGGAGGCTTCTTCCCTGCTAGGTAGAGGAGTAATGTCCCATGTTTCATTACTTTGGAGGGCCTGAATTTCACTAGCCATGGCATCTCTCCATCTAACATCCCGAACAGCTTCAAAGAAATGCACAGGTTCTCTCTCGCATGAAGGGCTGCAAGAAAGGTTCGGTGGGGGAAGGAGAATTTAGCACAATTTAAGTACTTTGTCAAACTGTAAGGCATACCCGAGGAAGCCGAATGTGGAGTGCGAATTGAGGGACCGAGTTGTAAAGTGGTGTTAGTGACATAATCACGAAGCTTCACGAGATGGCTTTTGTACACGAAGACCTTTCCCCGGGGATGCAGGGACAGTATGCTCCTCGGGAACCTCTAGTTCTCGTCATCATAGAGTCGGCTTGTTCCGGTGGGAGAACGATCCGGGTGGGAGGCTCTTGTTCATGGCATTCGGCGTGGCCCTCCCCGAACTCGGTTGTGGGCACATCTTCCGTTGTGGGGTTAACGTCATCGGTCTCCACAACGTGTTCTGCATTGTTTATTGCACCAAGTCCAGGCAATGCTTCCTCGACAATGCCAACATCAACAGTAGGTAATCCTACCTCTGAATGTCTACTGTGGGCAAGAGAGGCAAACGGGAATTCATGTTCTACAAACTTAACATCTCTCGAAGTCCAGAAGACTTCTCTTTCCAGATCAAACAATTTCCAGCCCTTTTTTTCGATTGAATATCCAACAAATACATTCTTGCGACTTCTACTTGCAAATTTGTCACCTTTCCTATCTTGGTTATGTGCATAACACAAGCATCCAAATACCCGTAGATGGTCATAAGTGGGTGGCTTCCCATTCAATATTTCATATGGAGTTTTTCCATGGAGAACGGTTGAGGGTATACGATTGATCAAGTATCCTGCGGTCAAAATGCATTCTCCCCAGAATTGAAGAGGAAGTTCTCCCTGAAATCGTAGAGCACGAGCTACATTTAGGATGTGTCGATGTTTTCGTTCGGCTCTCCCATTTTGCTGAGGTGTTCCAGTGCATGAGGTTTGATGGAGTATCCCATGTTGCTGAAAATATCGTTGAAGACACATAAACTCAGTTCCATTGTCACTTCGTACTATTTTGACTTGTTTCTCGTATTGTCGCTCTATTAAGGCGATGAAATGCATTAAGGTTTGTGACACATCTTTCTTATTATTCAAGAGATATATCCACACAGCTCGAGAACAGTCATCAACCAAAGTGAGAAAGTAAGATGCACCACAAGACGAGGGAGTTCTATATGGACCCCATAAATCACAATGTATTAAATCAAATATATTGGATGCTTGAAAATCACTTAAAGGAAATGTGTTTCTGCATTGCTTTGATCTCTCACACACTTCACACACACGAGTTGTATCCGTATTTCTATTCACGCTGTTCAGATGCGGAATTTTTCTAACAATCTGGTAGGCAGGATGTCCCATTCGCTTGTGCCAAATCTCTAGTTGATTTTCTGCATTGGTCTGATACGCCTTTATGCCACTCACACCACGATACCAATAGAGTCCCTCTTTTCGTTCACCCGCTCCAATTAGTATCCTCGAAGTGTGGTCCTGCATTGCACACAATCTATCAGTAAAATGTACTGTACATTTTACTTCATTCGTCAATTGTGATACTGAAATCAAATTGCAATTCAATTTCGGAACATATAGAACATGTTTAAGTTTCAGTCCTCCATCAAGGAAAACCGATCCTTCTTTGTTTGCCAGCACCAATTCACCATTTGGTAGTCCCACTGGGCACCCTTCCAAGGCTCGACTCTCCCTTAAGTTTTCTAGTGTTCCTGTCATATGATTAGAGGCACCACTATCAATAATCCACAAGTCACATGCTTTCTTACCAGTCATCTTTTCAGTTTCATTTGCCTTGCGAGAATTCAACATTGCTTGTCAAGATCTCGCCATTGCTCATTACTCGAGTCCTGCGACTTCGGTTTTTCGGTTGAACCAACGTTATTCGCACCGAGTGTGCGCCATATTGACGCGAGTCGTTCCTCCTTTTCCTCGGAAGGTTCCTGTTCTTTGTTGATTTTTTTCATCGTTTCTATCGGTTCGTGGTCTCTCTCCCCACCATTCTGGGTAACCAATGATCTTGAAGCAATTGCCTTTGTCATGTCCCTTCCTTCCACACTGCATGCAAACAACTGATTTTTCTTTCGCTTCATTGCGCAACTTGTTCCTGGTTTCCGCTCGCATAGCCATTCCCACGATCATTCCTCGCTCTTCTTTAGACCTGGTGATTGTTCTCACCCTTTCTTCTTGCACCATGGTGCCATATACCCGATTCAATGAGGGTAATGGATCTGTTGCCAAAACATTTGACCGTGCAGTTCCATAGCCCTCATCATCTAGCCCCATCAAGAACTGATGAATTTTTTCTTCTTCTCTTCGTTTCTCAAGTTGCGTCATAATATTACACTTGCATCCCCCACATCTACACTGTGGGATTTGCTCGTAATTTGCCAGTTCATCCCACAACGTTTTCAACTTCCCATAATAGGAAACCATAGTCATTCCTTGTTGTTTGCATTCTGCCAACTCTGACTTTAGCTGCTGGATTCTTGGTCCGTTCACGATCGAGAATCGTTCCTTGATGTCATCCCATAGGTCCTTTGCGTTTTCCATGTATGCAACGAGTGGAACGCAAACTAGGTTCTATAGTGTTTAGTATCCAAGATACAAGCATCGATTGAATTGTCCACCAATCTTCTATCTCAGATGTGTCTTCTTCAGGTTCCTTGTGAGTTCCATCTATGAAACCCCATTTCCTTCGAGCCCGCAGAGATATCTTCACGGCCCTTGCCCATTCCTCGTAATTCTCTCCTCGTAATTGTACCTGTGTAATCACATTTCC